TAAATCACAGGCTGTTATCTCTCCAGATCTTCTTCTGCCCTCTTCTCCCTTTCTCCTCCCTCTGGGATGCCACTTACACGTGCAGTAGACAAATGGACACTGTCCTGCACATCTCAGACATTCGTTCTTTGTTTCTTTCTTCCTTTCTTTCTCTCTCCATTTTTAGTTCTCGTTTCTTTCTGTGCTTCAGTTTGGATAATTACGACTGACCCGTCTTCAAATGCACTGATGCTTTCTTGAGCTGTGCCCAGTCTGCTCTTAAATCCATCCGATGGATCTTTATTTCAGATATGTGTATGTTTCAATTCTAAAACTTCTATTTGGTTCTTTTATAGTTTCCATTTCATGTTATTTACATGTTAAATTTAAGAAGTTCCTTTATTAATGGCTTTATCTTTATACCATAAAGATCACCCATTTTACACGTACAATTCGACGACGTTTAGTGAATTTATGACGTTGTGCTGCCATCAGTACCTTCCCGTTTTAGAACGTTTCCATCACCCCCACGAGAGTCCCTGTGCCCATTAGCACTCACTCCCTGTTCCTGCCCACAGCCCCAGGCAGCCACCAACCTGCTTTCTGTCTTCATCGATTTTCCTTCTCTGGACATTTCATACCAATGGAATCATATGATATGTGGCCTTTTGCATCCAGCTTCTTTCACTTCACATAATGTTTTTGGGATTCACCTCGGTCGTCGCAGGTTTCAGGACTCACTTGCTTTTTATTGCTGAGCAGCATTCCACAGTATGGACACACCGCAGTTTGTCTGTCCATTCACCAGTCGATGGGCATTTGCATGGACCTACCACGATTTGTTCACCATTTAGCAGTTGACGGGCGTTTGTGTTCAAGTGTTAGCGTGAGCGTCTGTTTTCACTTCTCTTGGGTGCACACCTGGGAGTCAAACTGCTGACCCATTGGGGAAATTCATCTTCAACTTCTTAAGAAATTGCCAACCTGTTTTCCAGAGTGGCCATGCCATCTCACGTCCCCACCAGCACGTGTGAGGGCTGTGGTCCCACATGCCCCCAGCGCCCGCTGATGATGGTTACATCTTAGCGTGGGAACCTTCTGGATAAGGACATATGCAGTGTGCCTTTTTTCACATTGGATGTGTTTTGAAGCCTCCAGCAGCTTTTAAAAGATTTTCTCGTATAGATCGTATACATGGTGGTGCGTTTATTTCTGGGAGTTTATTTTTAGGAGGTGCTGTTATAAGTGGGATGTTTTCTCCTTTTTCTGTTAACTTTTCTGACGGCTTGTTGTTTGTACATAGGGAGGTGGGGTTTGGGGATGTGGCTGACTTCCGGGAAACCATCCTCTGTGAGGTTGGGCTCCCTCCCCTCCCCCTCCCACCATGAGACTTGCGGGATGGTGGTTTCTTTCTAACAACTTTCTCAGTTTCTTCTGGTATAGTTAGAGATTTCCTCTTTTGGTATTTGTTGGATTTTTTTTTCCCACCCGGAAAATATCCATTTCCTCTAGGTTTTCAAGTTTCCTTGCCTAGACAGCCTTTGAGGTCCCCTCCTTGTCTTGATGAGGTCAGCCGCCCCAGACACGCCTCCAAGTTGGTCTTAGAGAAAGAGGCTAAGACACACATCCCTCCCAGAGGCCCTGAGGCAGTGGAAGTCACTGGAAAGCGTCCTTCACATTCAGTGACCAAAGATCTTGCTCCTGTCCCAGCTCTGACTCTGAGCTTGCTGGCCGGAGGGCTTCAGGGTGACCTCATTTCCACCCACTCCTTCCGTCTTTAAAAATAATTGAGAGGTGGGGTTGGGTAATGCAGCTGGCTCAGTTTTTCCTAAGATGAGTGTTGACCGGGTCCATCTCCTCCTCGCTTCAACAACCGTCAAACGTGAGCAGTTTCTCCTCCCCCCTCTCTGTTCAGGTTACACTCAGTGGCCACATTTAATTTGGTCACAACCCACCGGACGGCGAGAATGGGCCTGATGGGGGTGAAGCGGAACAGAAGAGCCACCTGGAAATATGCCACTTGGGCATGAGCATTATTTTGAGCTGAAGGCATTTGAGCAGCCGCAGATACAGGAAAAGCTCTCCACACTCCCCCTATTTGCCTAAAAGCAGGACCTAAATTTGTTGAGGCACCCCTCCTCTTTTTTTCTTTTTTTTTGAGGAAGATTAGCCCTGAGCTAACATCTGCTGCCACTCCTCTTCTTTTTGCTGAGGAAGCCTGGCCCTGAGCTAACATCCATGCCCATCTTCCTCTACTTTATGTGTGGGACGCCTGCCACAGCATGGATTGCCAAGCGGTGCCATGTCCACACCCAGGATCCAAACCGGGGAGGCCCAGGCCACTGAAGCCAAACGTACGCACCTAACTGCGCCACTGGGCCGGCCCCTCCCCCTCCTCTTTCTGATGCGGGCTCGGTGAGCCGAGGAGTTGAAAGAAAGATTTCTTGGACTCTTAAGATCTGGCAGTAGTGCTCTTTTATTTAGAGAATAGTGTGGAATAGCATGGGGACAGGACCCACGGGCAGTCAGAGCTGTTGCTGCCGCTTCTGCTGCAAAGTTGGGTGGAGAGTAAGGCTAAATTTAAGGCATAGGTATGCGAGTTATCTCTTTACAAGACAAAGGAAAGAATATGTAAAAAAGTTAAAATGGTATTGGTGCCGGTAGGGTCCGGCCATTGGGCGGTCCCACAACTTTTAGATAAGAATCAAATCGGATTGAGTAAATGGCCAGAAGCCACCGCCCTAAATCAGTTACATGAGGTTACCAGACAGTAACCAACTTAAGTTCTTGCCTTTGGCATTGATTAAAAGTTTGTAGAGATAAGGTCATCTCCCTTCTTCCTGGCACAGAGAGGGAGGCAACTTTACAGATGGAGGTTTCCCTTAGAAACGTAAATGTCTCCCAACAAAGGGCAAGCAAACTCCACTCCTCGGAGCCTGCTTCTCATCTGCAGTCTTAAAAGTAACCAGCCTAAAATCCTCATCATTTCTACCAGGAGGGACAGAGTTAATGACTAGAGACAATTCTAGACCCTTATGGGCACCAGAGGAATCTACATAGCAAGCCCTGCTGAAAACCACCCTTCTCTACCTCGTTCCCCACATATTTACCTTCCCACACAGTTTACTGCCCCTGGAGCCTCAAAGTCCTTTCCTTTGCCTTGTCGCTTCTCTAAAACCATGTTGTTCTTTTGTTAAGATGCTACGTAAGCCCCTGGTCTAACCACCCCTTTGAGTTGCTCGTCTCTGAGGGCTCCCACGTCCACGCTGGATGCACGTGCTCATAAACATCTGTTTTTCTCTTTCAATCTGTCTTTTGTCTGCCTAATTTACAGGGCCCTGGCCAGAGAAGTAAGATAGGGAGTGGAAAAATGTTTTCATCCTCCCATGCAGAGGCTTTTTCCAGAAAGTGACCTGCACGCTTTTCTCCCTGAAGATAGAACGTCAGCTTCAAGTAAGAAGGGGTGCCTGCCTCCTTCTCCTCTTCCTCCCTCACCGCTGTCTCCACCTCCTTGCTCGCCCTCCAGGCTTCTGCCCCTTTAAATATGTGCTGCTCACTGCTGCCCCCTCCCCCCCAGCCATTGCAGAAAAAAAATTCCTTTGAGCCTCTTTGTCCTTCCTTCCTTTCTTTTTCTCATTTTTAAAATTGTGGTAAAACACACATAACATAAAATTTACCATTTCAATCCTTTTTAAGTGTATAATTCAGTGGCATGAAGTATATTCACAATGCTGTGCAAACATCACCACCATCCACCTCCAGAACTTTCTCATCTTCCCAAACTGACACTCTGTACCCATTAAACACCAGCACCGCCCCCCCCCCCGACCCCCCAACCACCATCTACTTTCTGTCTTCATGGTTTTGACTACGTCTGGGGACCTCGGATGAGTGGAATCCTACAGGATTTGTCTGTTGTGTCTGACTTATTTCCCTGAGCATAATGTCCTCAAGGTTCATTCATGCTGGAGTGTGTGTCAGCATTTCCTTCCTTTTTGAGGCTGAATAGTATTCTATTGTATGGATGGATGTCCTAATTTTGGTTTTATTCATTCATCCCTCAGTGGACCCTTGGGTAGCTTCTTCCCTCCCTCCCTTCCTGCTTTCCTTCCATATTTAAAAAATCTCTGGGAAGAACAGCATCGTAACTATTACAAAGGGAATTTTAAAAGAGAAATAATCACCTGCAATGTCTCGCCCTTCCTATAGGAACTTTTTCCATTTTCCTCGATTCCCTGCGAGGTTTGGGTCCATATAGTCTTTTTTTTTTTTTTTTTTTTGCTGAGGAAGATTGTCACTGAGCTAACATTCATGCCTATCTTCCTCTATTTTGTATGTGGGATGCCACCACAGCATGGCTTGATGACTCATGTGTAGGTCCACGCCTGGGATCTGAACCCACAAACCCTGGGCTCCGAAGCGGAAGGAGCGAACTTAACCACTATGCCACCAGGCCGGGCCCCATATACAGTTATTCTTGGTGCAAATTTTTATGCAGTCTTCTGCTCTACTTGGAGCTTAATCTTTTTTCCATGTGAATACATTTCCTCGTGTTGTTTTTTGACAAATGAGTTCAAGATAGCATATGCAATTAATATGCCACAACTTTAAAAAACCATTTCCCTGTTGGTTGTTCATAATTTTCAGCATTTTGAATAATGAAATTATTTTGAAATTTTTTGGAATCATTTCTATTTCCCTTCCCTCCCTCATTTTGAATAAGGTCCCAGGAGTGGGCATATTAAATCAAAGGAATAAATGGTTTTAAGACTTTCAAAACACACTACGGAGGTTGTCCTCATTGAAAGTGCCATTTACAGAATTCGAGGCTCGCAGCCTCCCCAGTTCTGGGTATTATTATTTAAATCCCTATTTTGCAATGTAACAGGTAAAGTTATAATTGTTATTTTCATTCCCGTTAGATTACCAGTCAAGTTAAAATTTCTGCCTCCTCCTCGGTTGTGTTTTTCCTCTTTCAAACTGCCCACCTCCTCTCCTTTAACAAATTATCTCACAGAGACTCCGTTTTTTCAGAATTTATTTGTACTTGCTCTCTATCTGCTGTAGACATGAATATTTATAGGTGTTTCTAATGGAATCCTTTCTTCTCTCATCTGTTTTTCTGTAAATTCTGCACACGTGTGGGGCGTTGATGTTGACAAGTCTGCCTTGAGACAGGGGAGGGGTGTCTCCTTCCCTGGGTCTCTGCGGGGCCCAGCCCACGGCCGTGTCCCTGGTCAGTGCGGGGTGGACAGCGTGGGAGGCAGGCTGGAAGTCGCCAGTTTTGTTTCTGGACTGGAAATCACTGATCCATTGAGCAGATTTAGAAACCCACCGGTTGCATCGTTGCAAACTGTGAGCGCATCAAACTGAACTGCTCAGGGCTCCCCTCTGCCCCCCAATTCCAGCGACTTGCTTTCCATCGTGAACTCTCTCCTTTCCCCTCTTCCTGGGCTGAGCTCCGGCAACAGGGCCCAGCACAGCGCTTCCCCCCCGTTGTGGGTACATTTCTGACGGTGCGTGACACGGCTTCTGGGGCGTTTTAAGTTGTATGAGGAAAAAATGAACAAGCACTACATATTACGGCTTGGGGCAGGGCTGAAGTTCACCAGACTCTTTCTTAAAGGGCGGATGACACGGCACAAAGCTACTGGGAAAGTGGAAGGTGGATGACTGAGGTCGGGCAGCCTTGGAGGCCCATGCCCTGCTCAGTGCCGGCCTGGCCGTCTGCTGGCAGTGTGACCTTGGGTGAGTGCCCTGGGCTCTCTGAGCCTACTGCTTCTTCCATTACATGGGGCCATCCCTTCCTCGTTGGGCTATTAAAAGGACTAAGAAAAGGTCAAGTGTCTTTCAAAGAACAGGGCCTGGATTCCGGGCTCTCTGGGTTGTAACCCGTGACACCATGGCCCTCGCTCAATTAACGAGAACCCTCCTCCTGACCCTTTTCCCTCCAGAGGTGGGAATGTGCAGGACCAGCTCCCCGTCCCCATACCCTCCATCTTCTCAAGACTCTAGAACTCTCTAGATGTCCCTCTTCTAAACTTTATTAAGCACCTGCTGCATGCCAGGGGTTTACGTGGGGGGTGGGCGGACGACTGCGTCTGGCCTTCTGCTTGCCCCCGTCCTCGTGGCTGACACTTCGCCCTCTGCTCTAGAATCTGGACCCCGGGACTGGGTGTAGAGGGGGCCCCCTGCGGGTGGGCAGGTTTCCCAGCCCCCCAGCCTCCCGGTTCTCCAGCAGACGGTCGGCCGCAGCCACCCAACGGACGAGATCGTGGATTCCGCCAGCCTTATGTTTTGGTTGAACATTCAAGGGACAAGCCTGCCACCCAAAGAAAGAACGACTTGGAGTGCCGTCTCCTCGGGGCCTGAGCGCCCAGTGCCCACGGCATGTGTCTGTGGAGACCGGCCCTTCAGGAAGGAGGGCTTTTCAAACACCCCCCGGAATGTTCCGTTCCAGATTCAGTAGCGACCCCAAAGAGGGAAGCTCCCCAACTGGGCTTGTGATGAAGGATCTGGGGCCATCAGCCCGCCTCAAGGAACCTCACGCCTCAGGGGAGACCCCTGCGGAGGGCAGAGGAAGCTAGGGAGACCCCGGGGGCAGCCCGGCTCACACCACGGAGGCCTCAGCTGAGCAAGTGAGAAACAGCCAGGACAAGGACAGTGGCCAGACTGGAGGCCCCGCCCAGAGGTGGGTCCAGCGGCCAGGCTGTCTCCTAGATGATAGGTATTGAGGAAGGTGGAGAATTATCCAGACCAGCTGTGGTCTTTCTTGTCCCCAGAAGCATTCTGAAGCATTGGCAAACTGCTCCTTCCGGTATCTGGAGCCAGCACCCTCTTCTCTGAGCCCCCCGGCGTCTCGTGCTGGTTGTTCCGTCCTGGCCAAGAATCTTGACCTTGCTGCGGAGCTGGGCTTGTGGTAGAAGCTGAAGGACTTTGAAATCTTGGCAGCCTGGTGCCGGCTGAAGGAAAATCTCAAACTGGGAAGAAAAGAGAAGAGAGGTAAGGCTGTGCCGTGGGCCCCCTGTTTCCTGGAATCGCGCTGGAGGCCCCATTACATCCCTGGCACTCTGCAGGCCCAGCACTGTCAGGCCAAGAGCGGCCCTCGTCCAAAGGACATCCCCTTCTTTGGAAAGGCAGCAGGTTAGGGTTAGACGGGTCCCTACACCTGGGAGACAGAACCCGGGCATGGTCCCCCCATCAGGGGTTCCCAGCGGAGGGGAAGGGCTGAACCTCGGCACAAGATGCTTTGGGAGGACAGAGGACGCACTGAACCCCAACTGGGGGAGGCGGTGCAGGGAAGTCCGGAAGCGATGCCTGAACTGAATCCTGAGGGTGAAGAGAGGGTATCCAGGCCACAAAAGCAGCAGGGGCGTGAGGATGGTTCTAGAACATTTGGTGACCCCTGAATGATTTCTTTCCACTTTCAGAAAGAGTCCACCTCAGCCCCTGGATCTCTGGGTCCCACAGAAGCGCAGATCTCGTCAACTTAGGGGTCACGGATCTGGGCAGAGCCCCTGTGCCCTCTCTAGGGTGGTTGCCATTGGCAGGTGAGTTTTACCAGCGTCTTGCTTTCCAATCTCTGTGCTTTACCTCTTTCTCTGGTCTTCCTGAGTGGGACAGGATCCTAATACAACGGGCAATGGAAGCACAGACAGAGAGTGTCTTTATCTTGTCACCGACTTTAAAGGGAACGTTCAGATTTTTCACCACCGTGCGTGATGTTCAAGGCCGTACCCCAAACTCCTCACGCTATCAGGTCAAGGAAGGTCCCTCTTGTCCCCCATTTGCTAGGAGAATTTTCAAAAGTAAAGTATGAGTATTGGAGAATTTTATTAAATGCCTTTTCTGTCATCTATTGAGATTTTATTTTTGGTTCTTTTTAGATATATTATGCTTTTAATAGTTTCTAGTTCCCGGCCAAAATTTTCAGTCTGTGTCAGATAAACCCAGTTTTGAATTCCTGTGGGTTTGGGTCTATTGTATGTACCGTTTCTTGCTCTTAGAATTCTGTCTCCTTAAGTGTGTTTGTTTCTTGTTTTTGTTTTTTAAGGGAAGATTTGCCCTAAGCTAACATCTGTTGCCAATCTTCCTCTTTTCTTCCTTTTTCCCCCTCAAAGCCCCAGTACATAGTTGTAAGTTCTTCTGGTTCTTCCGTGTGAGCCACTTCCACAGCATGGCTACTGACAGACGAGTGGTGTGGTTCTGCACCCAGGTTCTGCTGCTGAAGGGAAGCAAGGCGAACTTCAACCACTAGGCCATCAGGACTGGCTCCTAAGTGTGTTCGTTCTTACAATGACAGTGTTTGTAAGGACAGGGTTCACTGTTGTATCCCCATGCCTCGCATGGAGCAGGCGCTCTGAAAACGTTTTGTAATGAAAAAAACGTTGGTGGTAAAATACACCTCACGTAAAATCTACTAGCTTAACCATTTACAAGTGCATAGTTCAGTGGTATTACGGACACTCGCATCGTTGTGAACCACCTCCAGAACTCTTTTTCATCTTGCAAAACTGAAACTCTGCCCCCATTAAAAAACAACCCCCCATCCTCCCCTCCCCAGCCCATGGCAACCACCCTTCTACTTTCTGTCTCTGTGAATTGGACTATTCTGGGTGCCTCAGATGAGTGGGATCGTGCAGTATTTGTCTCTTTGTGACTGGCTTATCCCAGTTAGCATAACGCCCTTCAGGTTCATCCATGTTGTAGCAGGTGTCAGAATGTCCTTCCTTTGTGAGGCTGAACAACATTCCCTTGTATGTACGTACCACATTTTCTTTATCCGTTCATCTGTCCACAGACACTTGGGTTGCTTCCACCTTTGGGCTATTGTGACTAACACCGCTATGAACACAGCTGTATAAACATCTCTTTGAGACTTTGGCTTTCAATTCTTTTGGATATATTCCCAGAAGGAGAATTGCTGGATCATATGGTCATTTCATTCTTAATTTCTTGAAGGACTACCATACTGTTTTCCATAGTGTCTGCACCATTTTATATTTCTATCAACGGTGCACAATAGTTCCAAATTCTCCACATCCTTGCTAACACTTAACTATTTCCTAAGTTTTTGATAGTAGCCTTCCTCATGGATGTGAGGTGGCATCTCCTTGTGGTTTTGAGTCCCACTTCCCTAATGACTAGTGATGTTGAGCATGTCCTCATGTGCTTGTTTCCCACTGGTACATCGTCTTTGGAGAAATGTCTATCCAAGTCCTTTGACCATTTTTTACTCAGGTTGTGTTTTTGTTGTTGTTGAGTTGTAGGAGTTCTTCATATATTCTGGATATTAACCCCTTATCAGAAATGACTTGCAAATACTCTCTCCCATTCCACAGGTTGCCTTTATACTCTGTTGATTGTGTCATTTCATGCACAGAGTTTCAAATTTTGATGAAGTCTCGTTTGCCTATTTTTTCCTTTGTTGTCTGTGCCTTTGGTGTCATATCTAAGAAATCATTGCCAAATCCAACGTCATGAAGCTTTCCCCCTATGCTTACCTCTACGGGTTTTATTGTTTTAGTTTTTATGCTTAGGTCTTTGATCCATTTTGAGTTCATTTTTGTATATGGTGTAAGGTAGGGGTCCAACTTCATTCTTTTGCACGTAGACATCCATTTTTCCCAGCACCGTTTGATGAAAAGACTGTACTTTCTCCATTGAGTCTTGATGCCCTTCTCAAAAATCATTTGACTACATACGCAAGGGTTTATTTCTGGGTTCTCTGTTCTATTCCACTGGACTATGTGTCTATCTTTATGCCGGTACCACGTTGCTTTGATTACTGCAGTTTTGTTATACGTTTTGAAATCACGAAGTGTTAGATCTCCAACTTTGTTCTTTTTCAAGATTGTTTTGGCTATTTGGGGGTCATCCGAGTTCCTATATGAATTTTAAGATGGATTTTTAAAATTTTGGCAAAAGCGTCATTGGGATTGTCATAAGCATTGCTTTGAATCTGTGGGTCACTTTAGGCAGTATTGACATCTTAATGATATTGTCTTCGAATCCATAAACATGGGATGTCTTTCCATTTATTTGTATCTTCTTTCATTTCTTTCAGCCATGTTTTGTAGTTTTCATTGTACAAGTCCTTGGCCTCCTTGGTTAAGTTTATTCCCAAGTATTTTAATTTCCTTTTCAGATGGTTCATTGTTAGCGTATAGAAATGCAACTGATTTTTGTGTGTTGATTTTGTATCCTGCAACTTTGCCAAATTTGTTTATTAGTTGGAATGAGTTTTTTGTGGGGTCTTTAGGGTTTTCTACATATAAGATGATGTCATTTGAGGAAGAGATAACTTTTCTTCTTTTCTTCCAATTTGGATGCCTTTTATTTCCTTTTCTTGCCTAACTGCCCTGGCTGGAACTTACAGTACTATATTAAACAGAACTGGCAAAATCAGGCATCTTTGTCTTGTTCCCTATCTTAGAAGAAAGACTTCAGTCTTTCACCATTGAATATGCTGTTATCTGTGGACTTGTTGTATATGACCTTTATTATGTTGAGGTAGTTTCCTTCTGTTCTTAGTTTGTTGAGTGTTTTTATCATGAAAGGGTGATGAATTTTGTCAAATGCTTTCTCCACAGCAATTGAGATGATTGTGTGGTTTTTGTCCTTCATTCTATTAAGGTGGTGTATTACATGCATTGATTTTCCTGTTGAACCATCCTTGCATTTCAGGAATAAATCCCCCTTGGTTGTGGTGTATAATCCTTTTAACGTGTCCTTGAATTCTGTTTGCTAGTATTTTGTTGAGGAATTTTGCATCTATATTCACCATGGATACTGTTCTGTAGTTTTCCTTTCTTGAAGTGTCATTGTCTGGCTTTGGTAGCTGGGTGATGCTGGTCTCAAAATGGATTTGCAAGTGTTCCTTCTTCTTCAATTTTTTGGTAAGAGTTTGAGAAGGATTGGTTTCAATTCTTTAAGTGCGTGGTGGAATTCACTAGTGAAGCCATCTGCTCGTAGGCTTTTCTTTCTTGGGAGGTTGTTGATTACCAATTCAACCTTCTTGCTAGTTATAGGTCTGTTCAGATTGATATTTCTTCATGATTCAATCTTGGCAGGTTATGTTTCAAGGAATTTTATCTATTTCATCTAGACTGTTCAATTTGTTGTCATAAATCGTTCATGGTATTTTTTTTTATAATCCTTTTTATTTCTGCAAAAGCACTTGTAATGTCCCCGATTTCCTTTTTTTTATTTCAGTTATTTGTGTCTTCTCTCTCTTGTTTTTAATTGGTCAATCTAGCTAAAAGTTTGTCAATTTTGTTGATCTTATCAAGAAACCAACTTCTGGTTTCGTTTTTTTCTCTCATTTTTCTATTCTCTATTTCATTTATCTCTGCTCTAATCTTTATGATTTCCTTCCTTCTTTCCACTAGCTTTGGGTTTAGTTTGCTCTTTTTCTGTTTCCTTAAGGTGTAAAGCTAGGTTGTTGATTTGAGATCTTTCTTCTTTTTAAATGTAAGCATTTACAGCTACAATTTTTTTTCTTAGCATTGCTTTCTCTACATCCTATACTTTTGGTATGTTGTGTTTTCTCTTCCATTTGTCTCAAGGTATTTTCTAATTTACTTTGTGATTTCTTTGACCCATGGATTGTTTTAAAATGTGTTGTTTAATTCTGCACAATTTGTGATTTTCCCCCCCAGTTTTCCTTTTGCTGTTGACTTCTAGTTTCTTTCTATCACGATTGGAAAAGATAATTTGTATGATTTCAGTTTTTAAAAATTTATTAAGACTTGTTTTGGGGCAGCCCTGTGGCTGAGTGGTTAAGTTCACAAGCTCCGCTTTAGCAGCCCAGGGTTTTGCCGGTTTGGATCCTGGGGACAGACAAGGCACCGCTCCTCAGGCCATGCTGAGGTGGCGTCCCACATGCCACAACTAGAGGCACTCACAACTAGAATATAAAACCATGTACTGGGCGGCTTTGGGGAGAAAGAAAAGAAAAAAAAAAAGAAGATTGGCAACAGATGTTAGCTCAGGTGCCAATCTTTAAAAAAAAAAAAAAAAAGACTTGCTTTGTGGTCTAACATATGGTCTATTATGGAGAATATTCTGTGTGCACTTGAGAAAAATGTATATCCTACTGCTGTTGGGTAGAGTGTTCTGTATGCATCTGTTAGGTCTAGTTGGTCTATAGTGTCATTTAAGTTCTCTATTTCCTTATTGATCTTCTCTCTGGTTGTTCCATCCATTACTGAGAGCTGGGGGAGGGCGATGATGTCTCCTCCTATTGTTGCAGAGCTGTCTTTTTCTCCCTTCAATTGCATCAAGGTTCGCTTCAGTTCTTTAGGAGCGCTGATGTTTGGTGCATATATATTTATAATTGTTACATCTTCTTGGTGAATTGACCCTTTTACCATTGTTTTAATTTCTGTGGGATAAACATCCAGGAATGCAATTGCTGGATCAAGTGGTAAGTGTATGTTTAGCTTCTTAAGAAGCTGCCAAACCATTTTCCAGAGCTGCTAAACCATTTGACATTCCCACGGGCAGCATCTGAGAGACCCCGTTTCTCTGCGTCCTTGCCGGCATTTGGTGTTGTCGTTGTTCTTTATTTTAACAATGCTATCTCGCTTCCCAAATTGCTAGTACTGTCGAGCGTGTTTCTCACGTGCTTGTCATCCATGTGTCCCTTGGGTGAAATGTCTCCATGTGTTTTGCCCATTTTCTATTTGTTTATTTACTGCTGAATTTTGAGAGTTCTTTATATTTTCTAGATATGAGCTCTTTGCCAGATACGCGATTTGCAAATATTCTCTCCCAGTCTGTACTTTGTCTATCTACCCTTCTAAGACTGTGTTTCACAAAGCAAAATTTTAAAATTTTGATGAAGTCCAGTTTATCGACCTTTTTATTCTTTTATGAATCATGCTTTTGGTGTCTTGTCCAATAACTCTTCCCTAAGCTGTGCCTGTTGTCTTTCAGAGGTACATCTTATCCTACAGATTCAGTTGATTTAATACCTGTGAGATTCTTTAGGTTCAACACTCTTTCTCAAATCAGTTTGGGCAGATCCTATTTTTCCAGGAAATAATTTAAAGTAGGTTTTGAAATTTATCAGCAAAGTTGTTGAGTGACTTTTTGAAATCTCTACTGGATCTGCAGTTTTGACTCCTTGCTCATTCCTAGTACGGTTTGTCTCTTTTTTTTTTTTTTTTTTTTGAGGAAGATTAGCCCTGAGCTCACTGCTGCCAATCCTCCTCTTTTTGCTGAGGAAGCCTGGCCCTGAGCTAACATCCATGCCCATCTTCCTCTACTTTATATGTGGGACGCCTACCACAGCATGGCGTGCTAAGCGGTGCCATGTCCACACCTGGGATCCCAACCGGTGAACCCTGGGCCACCAAGAAGCGGAATGTGTGAACTTAACTGCTGCACCACTGGGCCGGCCCCGGTTTGTCTCTTTTTTTTCTCTTGATCATTTCTCTTGTTTATTTCTTTCCTATTTCACTTGATTTCTTCCTTCTTCTTTCCTTGGTTTACACCAGGGATCAGCCAACTTTTTCCATAGATGGGCTCTATCGCAAACACTCTGCTCAGTGATTGTAACACAAAAGCAGCCACACATGGCACGGGAGTGACTGTGCATGGCTGTGTTCCCTTAGTGTGTGTCATTAGTGGTAAAGGCATTTTCAGATAGTTCAGTGCTGAGAATTTATTTCATCTTTAATCTTAAACAGTAGTTGAACTGGGCATAAAATCTAACTTGAGAATTATTTTCTCCTAACACTTTAAAGATTTATTCCTCTGTCACTGCTGGTGGGAGACAGATTATCTTCTTGTTCCTTGAAGCATCACCCCTCTTCCATCCTCTTTGGTGGCTTTTAGAACCTTTCGCTTTGGTTTTTCTGCGATTCCACTTGGATGTATCTTGAGATGGGCATATTATACGATTTTGGACACCTCATGCTTCCTGAATCTGAGGAGTCCCATCTCTCAAATGTCTTTATCTTCTCATTCTTGAATTTCTATTAGACACATTGGGCTCTCTCATTTCACCTTCCCTCTTTTACATTTTCCATTTCATTAATTTTCTCTTCTGCCATTGAATCTGTTTTAAATTTCAGTGAATGTTTTTCATTTCTGGAAATGCGTTTTGGGATTATGCTCATCATTTTTCAGTTTATTCTTTCATGTCTTTCATCATCTCTAATTCTAGCATCTGGGGGTCTTAGAGAAAGCTTTCTCAGAACTGTCTTCTCAGCCAGGCCCTGACTTTCGGGCTTCCGTGCTCGTGTCCACATTGTCCAATTTTAGAGGAACCCTGCTGAGTCAGTTTGGCTAGAGCTCCTCTCCTCCATCACGGACGACCTCAGCATCTGCCAGGGCTCCGCCCCTGCTGGTGTCTGAGCACCTGGACCACCTCTAGCGAGAATCCTGCCAGGTCGGTTTAGCCGGAATCCCCCCGCCCCTGATGTTTCCTCTTAGTAATTTTCCCTCCCCTGCCCCCTGCCCTGCTCCTGGGCTGTAAATGCCCACTTGTCCTCACCGTATCCAGAGTTGAGCCCAATCTCTCTCCCCTCCTGGGGCAGTGGTCCCTGCCCCTATTGCCATAATCCCCCTGAATGAGGCCCACCTCACTGTGTCGTGAACAGTGTCACAGGGGCCCACTCCTGGCGCTCTTGGCCATTGCTGACTTCTGTGTGTGGTGGGGCTTCAGCCCTGGGAATCACACACAACCTGACTGCACGTGTGCCCCAGGAGTCTCTGGACATTGTAGGAGTGTGCATGCAACCCCCTGACGTTAGACTTTCTCAGGAGGTGACTCTACAGCTGCCTGACCTCCCAAAGCTACTGTCTCCTGTGCCAGAGGTCACAAGGTTTGCAAGACCTGGCTTGGGGGGGGGGGTCTTTGGGCCTCTT